TCGTGTAACAGATGAATTTCGCACTCTTCACCTTTGAGTGAAAAAATAGCAAATAGTACTACTCATATTTATATTTTCCACACGATCAAAACAAGTTCAAACATCCACTCGCAACTAAAATAACACACACTCACACATACTTACACAAAAATACATTTAGGGCTCTGCGTGAATTTCAAAATCGGCGATTTCGCGGCCATTCACACGCAGGATGTCACAAGGTTTGGAACCAGTCAAACAATAGCGTACTTTCCAAAATCGTTTCAGATAAACGAAGCTAACATCTGATAGTAGAAAAGCATTTAAAAGGAAAAAGATAAGTGAGGGGGCCGCATGTGCGTGATGTTCTAAATACACCTATTACAGTCAGTAACCCACTTTCCGCTACGCAACTGTTCGCGCCGTATCGCAGCGAAAGTATTTCGTCTCCTCTCTCCTTTGTCTTTGCTTGGCAGAATGCCTCGCAAAGCCCTCTCGACGCGGACGCTCAGCTCCATATGAGAGGCTTACCTACCCGTTTTGAAGCATAATCACATATACACACATATCAGTGTTGGTCCCAGGATTTCGGTCCGGGGGGGGGGGGGGCGTTAGCCACGCACTCCGAAAAAAATTTTGGGGTGCCTCTCAAAACTTCTGCGGGTCCATAGCCCCCCACCCCAAATAAAATTTTTTTTACAAGTAATTTCAATTTTCAGAAAATTTTAAAGATTATTTTAATCTTACATAAAAGCTGAATGTCTGTATGTATGTATGTATGTCTGTCTGTCTGTACGTATGTGCGGAATAGAAAATTCCATTTCTCAACCGATCGGGACCAAACCTGGCACACATACACTCCGGGGCGGGGCGGGTGTCATAGGCTACTTTCCGTCATCGATCGATATCGATTTTATCGATTTTTTGCAAAATTTGAGCTACAGGGCTGGTAGTTGGCACAGGGGGGGGGGGGGGGTAATCGAGCATGCTGATTACAAATATATTATTGACGGGGCCGGGCGGAGCCGGGTTTGCCAACTAGTGTTATATATAAAGCTGAATGTCTGTACGTCTGTTTTGAGGAATAGAAATTTTTATTTCTGAACCGATTTGGACCAAACTTGGCACGCATACATTTCGGGGCAGGGAGCGTGTCATAGGCGATATCGATCGATATCGATTTTTTGCAAAATTTGAGTTATGGGGCTGGGAGTTGGCACAGGGGGCTAATCGAGCATGCTGATTACAAATATGTTATTGATGACAGGGCCGGGCGGAGCCGGGTTTGCGAACTAGTTACTTATAAAAATAAACAAGTCATTTGCACATTTTTACCATGTAGGTAAGTTTCAAAAACTTCGCGACCCAAGGTGTCCCAAAATCTGTACGCACTCTTTAACAGTTGATAACCTCTCTTCCCAGAGGTTTTTTGCCAAGTACTATGCAGTAGAGCAGACTTCATTAGATTTACAGTATAGAGCAAATACCGAGCTCTTCAATGATGTAGCATTACAGTAGGAACTCCAGCACACAAAGCCACTGTCAAGTAGATCGTCTGATGCAAAATTTCAAAAAAAAAAAAAAACGAAAAATTGCGTAGTAGGGTTTTCGTGCATGCTGGTTTCACTACACAACTTCTATCATTTGACCATCATAAAAATCTTCTCAGTAATCATCTCTGAGATTGAACTTGACCGGACTTTTCAACATTTTTAGCGACAAGAGATTAGTAATAGATAAAAAAAAATTTTGCGCGTCCTGACGTAACTTCTATGCAGTAATAATAGGTGACCCGATCACATAAAAAAGGGTCATTACACAGGGCGTCGCAGTTGCTGTTCAAGAGTTTAGACTGGAATTCAAGTGTACAGTCCATGTTTGGTGTAGCAAATTTATGCTAATCATGTTTTTCTGAGATGGCAAACACCCGTATAGCTTCTGAAAGCAATCATGATAAACTCAGGCAAAAACTCAATATAATATTATTAAGTTATGCTCAAAGGTGGATTCCCAAATACAGCCAATCGCACGGTTTATTGGAGAGGAAACTATGAAAAAAATTTTTCCATATGCTTAAATATTGGTGAGAAGTAAGAATTACATGTAAGTCGAAAAAACCTTGCATGTGCTATGAATAAACGTCAAAAACATTCCCACTCGCGAGAAACGTTAGTGAGGATCTCGCCAATAACGGCTCGTCGTCAGCGTGTTGAAGACAGCGCCCACCCGGATTTTCGCCTTTGAAATATCATTTTTAGGCCTTTCCATAGCCTTGTTACGAATATGGCGGTGCAAATTACGTGGGAACTCCAACAAACCTTTTCTGAAACAACCTTGTTTAGCAAGTGTTCCGGCCTTATTCTCGTTGTATGCGTCATCGTGTGCACGAGAATGATTGTCGCGCAGTAAGTGTCGACTTTGGTTGCCACGTCCGAACGCGTCAGGAAGTCGTCCCTGGATGGGCGGAGCTCTGGAAAAGGGGGGCGGAGTGCCAGACGATCCAACGACTTGCACCTACAGGAGCTTTCGTTCTGAGTGTAACGGTCGATGGTTTAGGTCCTTGAGAGCCGCCTCGCTTGAGTCTCTCACGTGGTACAATACCGCATTCCGCTAAGGTTCGCGGTATCGGATGTGTTATTGTATTACGTGAGAGACCAAGCGAGGCGCGAGAACCTGAACCACGTCGACCCTGACACCCAGACTGGAAATCGCTGTACGTTTTTCCCCCTCGGAGACAAGACAACACCAACACATTTGGTGTTCTTCTAGAGCCTACACATGCAGTGTATTATTTGAGTATCGTGGATTTTGGGTGAACGCCGCCTTTGAGGATTTTCAACAATGTTGCATGCCACGAGAGATAACCCGACATCGTTCCGAATATATTAGGGTAAACAGTAGATAATGGAACGAATGACCGTAGATTTCTCAAGAAAGAGAAGTGATTGAACTTTCCAGTTTTGCCAAATTCTGAAATCTATCGTCCTCGTTTAGACAAAACCCATACGACGTCATCAACGTACTTGATAACTTTTAAACTCGCTGAAACGCAAAGTTAGTCACTTCTACAAATCATAAACTTCGAGCAGTATCTGAGCAGTGAAACATGTGAGACCATCCAAAGCATACATACCTTTGTCTAGAGACAGGGCGTCAAAAGTGAAGGCTGTTTTAACATCTGACGTCATAAATAGTAAAGGTTGTAAAGATGATTAGCGAAGAGTATGGCATAAAACAGATATAAAAAGCAAAGAAACTGTTGAAAACCGGATAAAAACGCTGCAAAGAGGTCTGAAATCTTTCATTTGGCGGCTTTTCAAGCGCAAGTTTTCGCTCCAGTACCAGCAATTCGCAACACTGTTTTTGATTTTTGATGCGTCCCTTAAATTTTTACCTGCATTGACGTTCCTGTTTCCTGGGGTATTGTTCTGAGCAATAATGCCCAAGCTGGAAAAAAATCGACGCGAAAGCACTGAAACAGAACAAGGTAAAGAAAAACGCACTTTTTACGATTTTTCGCAAAAATTTCCACCATAGTCGAAGAGGCAAGGGCTGGGTGGTTGTCTGCATTATGAACAGAAGCAAGATCTATAGAATGCAAGGAAAAACCGCGTGAAAATAGTTAAACTAGGAGAAAAACAAGAGAATTTTGAAAACAAGGTTTTTGCCGGATTTCTCTATCCAGAAAATCTGGTTCTGGGATGTTGTCAGCGCGAAAATAGAGATTAAAAGCTTCAAAATAATCTATAGCTTGTTAAATTTGGGTTCGAAACAGCGAAGAAAAGGGTACCAGAGCCAAATGCCCCGCCCCCGCGTTCGGGGTAGCGAGGTAGCGCGCAGCGCGCAGAGACGCAGACGAGCAGCGGAGACAGACCAGAGCCGACGGGGCATTTGGCTCTGGTAGTAGATCTCCGCGGGGTCTCAACGAAACTCTGCAACATTATATATCATTCTGATCGCCATGACACGATGAGGAGAATTGACGATGTCCAAGCTTTGAAAACCACTCATCAACGAGATAGACCAGCGTTTTCGTGCGCGACTCTCTGCGCAAGATTTAAGCGCAGTTTCTCGTTTTTATTTAACTCCGATAGCTTTCCTAAACTTCTGAAACTCGATTTTATCCAAATGAAAGGGTAACCGAGAAATTTTGTCTTGAATTGGCGAAGATTCCACAGGAACCTTTTTTTAAGGTAGGCTATGAAAACGCAGATTCTCGGTTTCGCTGAGATAAGCTAGAGATATTATTCCCTATATATGCTTCATTTACATTCGTTCCGATATAGTCAGGATAATAACATCCGGGGCGAAGCCCCGGATGACTTCTGTTTTTTTTCCAGGTGAAGGTTGTGTCCCCCCATAGTCCTCAAAGTGAAGGGTCACCAGAGTACGTGGCTCTAGTATCGAGGGTATGATTCTGGCTACCCTCTGATAGAGCTCTTTACCTCCTCCATCCATATGCAGTTTTACCGGCGAAGGCGCTTGTGTAAGTGACGTTTAAGTTGCAGCCTACTTGTTATTGATCAAAACAAATCTCAAAATGTAATAAAAATTAAGTTGTCCCATTTTTTGCCGTTCACCCAATAGTATACCCGCAAAACACTCTCAAACACTTTTCCTTCTAACTTTGTTGGTTACTCTTGGAGTGTGAATTTTCGAGTATATAAAGTGCGAGTACGTAAATGGAGAATACAGTCAACCACTACGTCTTGTTTATTTTTATTATCCTTCCTTACTTCTAGTCCGGTTTGTCAACCCTAATGATCATGCGATCTGTATAAGAAAAATCTACGTTGTTAGCATAGTTGTGTCCTGCAAATGCTGTAGGTCTATGATGATCATATCAACATTTAGTGTTCAATATAACTCTTCATCTCTTGAGATAAAACATAGACAACTTTACGATGTGAAAATGTGCTGCCAAGATAAACAAGTACATTGAGATTACAATCAATTAAAACATTGAGATTACAATCAGAAATCACCTCGTGAAGAGCAAGAATGCATCATAACAATTGAGTCTAAACGCTTTTGTACATGTTATATGTCCATTTGATACTATGCGCTGGACCAGTACGAACCATATGCAGTGAATGAGCACGGCCTTAGAGGCGAAAGAAATATTAGACTTATGAGCTTTGCTAAAAAGAGATTAAGAAGAGATAGACGCTAAATTCAACAGACTATTCTGCTTATTACAAAATATATCAAAAATAGATTGCCAAAAAGCTAATAGTGCGCAGATCAGATCCAAATTTTTTGATCGATCAAGAAGAGTACGCAATGATATCAGAGTCTCGAAAATAAAGGTGTAAGACAGTGTTAGTTGACAACAAAGTGACAGTCGCTTCTTTTATATGAGAGCGAAGGTCTTAACTGGGATTGACTGCACGAATCCTGCTTGAGTTCACATTCACGGCATCATTTACATCTCCATAGAGAACCCCTCTGTGCCCATGGAGGCAAACACACCTGCCAACGGTTCGAAATCCGAGTTCACCACACTCAGCTTTGACACTAGCGATTGAGCGGCGCGAGCTGTAAAGCAGAAACTTTCTTATGGATAACAAGAGAAAAATTCCGCAGCGATCACTGGCAAAAGCATAAATAACGACGTAAAAGCTAGGGACGCACCAATCTCGGGATTTGAACTGTTTGCGTTTGCATCGAGAAGCGGTCTGTCACTGACCCACTGTTGCGCAAGATTCTCATCGTCAGCTATCCGATCGCACATTTCAAGGATCTGTTGTATCAATAGTTAGCCCTGAGTCACAGAAAAAAGAAGAGTGTATTTACCTGCACTATCAAGTTGTCCTCTGTGAATGTCCGCAAGAGCTCCATCATGGAAACTGGGCTGTTCCTAAATCGCAGTGTTGTAAAGGGAAGGCGAAAAAAAGCGAAAAATAAGACTAACCTCACAAATGAGACCAGAGTCTTTTTAACGCCTTCATCACACATCATGATCAAATTAAGGATACGAAAGCAAGCAACCAGTGCATTCACAGTTTCCTTTCGATTGGAGTCCTTGATAGTATGACTTGATATACGTAAATAAATTAGAGCAGCGATCTAGCTTACCGTAGCGTCAGCCCTAGTAGCAGATATGACAGTGAAAATGATTCCAACAATGTTGTCGCCCTTCTCTTCCGTAACAGCCTGCATTACAGTGGCTCCCCATCCAGCACAACAACTTAGGAGTAAGCCGGTAAGCTAGAACAAAACTCTAAGTTTTTTTGCAAATCCAAAGCCTACTACATACACGCAAGACTCGATTTCGGATGTTGGCGCTTCCATGTGACAGAAGATTCAGCAGGCAAGTTTGGAATGACTTCTAAAATAACATCAGTCAGTTCATTAGATCTACTGCTTGCCTTCTACCTGTGATAAGCACAGATCTCTAGCTCTTGTTGTTTCTGGCTTCAAAGGCTCCATTAGAAGCGAGTTTAAAGATAGCAAGATATTGTCAGTTAATTCCTCTACCATCCCTCTCGTTTCTTTTGTTTGACCCCACTGTTCCAGACTGCAAATGACGTATATAAATTGTAAATGGGCGAATAACTGCAAAACAACGTACTTCGAATACTGGTAGCAGAGTCGTGTGAAAATGTCAAAAGCACCACATTCTATAAGCAGTCTCTGAAAATAAAAAAATTTGATCAAAGAAAGCACTGGGAGGGTCTTTTGACAGATAGGGTACCTTGTTGACGGGTCGGTTGGCCATTATATTCACAAGGAAACCAGAGCTGTACCTTCTCACGAACAGATCTCGATCATTCGAGCGGCAAAGAATGTCTAGCACCTATAACATGAAGAAGAGATTATAGTTCAATCCATTGAAGCTTTTATGCAGAATCTAAAAACAAAAGAAGAAATCCAACAACAGAGAGCGGTCGACAAACCTGGCGTATGGAAATCCTCAAATCCTGATCATCAACTGCTTTCACATCACTGGCGAGTGCAACAAGGTGAATACCTTCCCGCAAGACATCTGTCGACTGGAAAAGGCGTTCGCAAACCTTCTAAAATATTTGACCAATATAAATAGGGGATTCATTCAATCAAAACAAGAATACTGACCTGTAGTCCACCACAACGTACAAACATTTCAGCTGAGGCCTGACTCGCCATTACGACGTTCAGCAAGGCGAATATTCGGTACAAAAGTCGACCCTGATCTCTAGCATTATCAGCTAGAGCAAGTAGACCGCCTTGAGCAGATCCGATCAACAATTCTATGAAGCGACCACCATATGATTGTACAATATGTTGCTGAAATATGGAATATCAAAAAAAAAAGATTTTGAAAAGAATGTCAACAGCCAGTGAGAAAAAAAAGGATATTGGACCAACGAAAAAACTCTGTAGCAGCTTTCACGCAAATATGGAGAAAAATTCAAAAGACTGAATTTTTTTGCTAAATATAATGAACAAAAAAACATCGGACCTTTGCATTACTGTCTTTCCGAGCAAGAAGCTGGAGTGAATGCAAGACAAAAAGAGTCCTTTTCCGATCTGGTTTCTCTTTTAAGATATGTAGCAAAGCATCGAGCACCTATAAGATACATTGTAACGACTGAGTATAGATAGTGAGTAACATTTATCGAACAAACTCACAGCTCCAGGTTGTATTTGCTTCGCGTACATTATGCATTTAGCCCCTTCTGGACCGCTGTAGTCAAATAGCGTGTGAAGAGTAAGTGCAGCAGCCCAATTCAAATTTACCCTAAATGCAGTCATAGTAGGAAATTTAAACACACAATTATAGATGTGACAAAGAAAATCTAACAAGGCTTACTTGGCAAAGTGTGCGATGATGTAAATAAACTCGGCAGTATTTTTGTCAGAAGCGACATGCATCACAACCCGTAAAGTAGTAGGATTCCTACTCAAGTAGAAAATCGCATTTAGTAAAAGATTGCTAGTTTGCAAGGAGTTTTGTCGTCGGAACTGAAATTCTGACTAGTAAAGTCTTCCAAGGAAATTTTGGTCGTTGCAAACTCACGTTAGGATCGGCTGTGTTTTTGAGCAATTGTGCTATCAGAAGCAATAGCTTGTGCACGCTAGCCAAGTCGACGAATTGGAACATGTTCCGTTGTGCATAGTGACATATACATTGTATAATTTTGAACTGCTGAAAAAGTAAGGAAGTAATTTATTGAAAAGAATAAAGTAATGTTTGCTCTTACATCGTTACTGTAGAAGTTATTGATAGAGTACGCAACGTTTCTCCGAACTTCTTGGATCGTGGCTGGATCAACATTTTCTGTACAAGGCGGTGTTGACGCAGTAGATGAGAACTGCGACTGCGGCCGCTGCAAGATGAAGCATTTTTAGTGAGAAATCTGGATTTGGCTACCTTCTCAACCACCCACCAACTCCGTAAGATCTTGTGGACAAGGTGCTGTGCTGGCATTCAGCGTAGTCTGAACGCTCATCACAGATACGAGGTCATCCTGCATGCTTATATGAGACATCACAGAAGGGGCTGCAGAAGGGATCTGAATTACGAGAATCGACGAAAAACTTATGTATTCATCTACAATAACATTATAGCTAAACCATTTTATGAAAATCTCACAGGAGAATTCGCGTATCCTGCTGTATATGGTCCATTCATCCAATGGCTAGTGTGATCCGCTTGTGGTACTCTTGATGGAGAGCGAGGGTAATTAGGGGGATACATATGAGGACTGAAAACTTGATTACAGTAACTGCTATCAAACGCGACAAAATATTATGAAACTGACATATTTTGCCTGCAGGCGGGTGGATACTGCTGCATCATCTCTGGCTTCGGATATTGAGGGAAGCGAGATGTCGATGCAACCTGAAGAAAGGAATGGGAACGACCATAGATTTATAAGGCGTTTTGGGAGTTCAAAACTCAATGCTCGACAAAGAGGTATAAATTTAGGCAAAAAATAGCCAAAATTCGCTGGACTTGGGTTTATCATTAGAATAGACGGCAAACAGGTCCCAGAAAAAAGTAAGAATTCGCGAAGTTGAGATGTTGATGCTTACACTGAGACGTCATATAATAAATTAAAACGATTCCGCAAAGAATATGAAAGAATAAGAAATGCAAAAAGTAATTCAAATTCGCTTTCGAACAAAGAAATAATAATTCCATCAAAAATTACAGAAAAAAAGAAATTCGAAAAATAGCACAAACGACAAATAGTACCTGTTGATCATACGCTCTTTGCGCATCCATGTAAGGAAAGAAAGAAGAAGGTGCTCAAAGCACCGCTCCAAAGTGTAGAGAAGGTAAATCCGGATATTCGAGTTCCGACCTGTCTTCTCTTCAAACGAATCCTTTCGGAAACTCTTTCTCCTGTAAATGGGAAGGATTTTTAAGGCGAAAGTTTTCAAAATCATGCCGATCAGAAAGGAACACAAAATGCATACCTAACATAACTAAAAATTCATATAGTTGATTAAGCAAGCAAAATTAGTTCTTCATATAAATATAAATATATGAACGGATGGAAGCCAGTGGTAAAGATGAGAGTCGTCAACAAAGTGAACTCGCAAAAAAAAGTAGAATAAATGCTCGTTTGTATAACAGAGCAATACTTTAATTTAGGTAATAAGCAATTTTAGGTATTTTAGGTAATTAAGTTATTGAGAAAAGTCCTTCGTATCGTGGTAAAGGAAAACAAAGACAACTACATGATACCCATGCGCTGAACCTTCACAAACCGAACTTTCGAATCAAACATGGATAGAACACATAAACACTTGCAAACAACATATATGATCATGAAAGTACAAATATCGTTTACAAGCATCGTAAAACAAACCTGAGGCGGTTAAAAATGAGTGGAATACTTCCGGCTAAATTACGGTCGCCAGAGAGATTCAAATTCTAGCGTCCCCCTCCAAACGACCCTGATGGCGTGTCTCGCGCCTCCTGTCCGGCGCGCTCTCTGCGCGTTGCGCGCGCACTGCGTCTGCGCTATCTCGCGCTTGACTTGACTGTCTGCGTCTCCGTCGTCTCAGCGTTGTGCCCTTCTGGCTAACACTTGATATGGAGAACCATAGTAAAACGTCGAGTAGCGTGTGACCTCACCTCACATTGGTCCATATGGGTCATTACGTTCCTGCAGCATAGAGTGCGAGGATGTAACAGCTGAGTTTGCACGTATTCCTTTTCCCAGGGGTTCTGAGAATGCGCCCTGCTAGTTTATTTTGAACAACTCGGGAATTCCACACGCATACTCCTCAAATTCAAATTTCCCACTGCAAACGAGTTTTTCGCTCGACTGTCATAAAAACGTGCGCCTGTTCGCAGGGTGCAGCATTCCACGCAATGTTGGCGAGTAGCGGTCTTAGTTACGCACCAAGAATAAATAAGTCACCACTCAACGTAAACATCTGCTGGATTCAAAAATAAAAAACAAAACAAAAAAAAATTCAAAAGAATAATTTTACATCTTGTTGAACCTGCTTGAATCAGACAGGATTGAGAACGATGCTTCAGTTCTTTCCCTTTCCGACAGCTAGAATCTCTCACGGTGCTTCTGTACCATGGTTTCTGCGTTCATCTCTAAGTCATCAAAAAAGGGATCTTCGAAAAAACCACTTAGAGAATCCCGAAAGGCTAGTTTCAAAAATCCCCAGATAGTGAACAAGGTTTACTTTAACGTAATGGAATTTCTCTCGAAACTCTAGAATGAAAATTTAGTAGCTAAAAGCCAGCTGAAGTTATGCATACGATGGGTGCAAAATTCTGCTGATTTTTGAGCAATTACGAGGGAAATTACTTTGGCAACATGATTGCTGACGATAGAAAGAAAAACTGCGTTGAATATAGTATAGAATATTTGGCTAGTTCTACCGATTTGGCTAAAAGGAAATGGGCAATCAAAAGTCATCCTTACTTTAGGCTAAACCGACAACCTCTTGGTATTATCACTGATTCATGTGAAATTTGAAGCGAGACGAATTGAGCGTTTGAAGATTTAAGGGAGTCTTCGCCTTCACCTCCCCACAAAGTCTTCTGCTTAGCTTCAAACACTATTCAGTAGGGCAGGCTTCAACTCAAATTTACAGTATGGAGCTTTCATCACCGCAGGGTTACGGCAGAGACTTTCAAGAGGATTTTGTACCATCGATGGCTACAGTTTGCGCCCCAGATTGGATACTCAAAAGATTGAAAATCTCATCATTAGACTAAACTGAGTCGCTGATTATAGTTATGAAACTCACATTTTACCGCAAGGCTTTTCATAAGTTATGCAGGTAGAAATCAGCATCGATTCTTTCGTCATTTTCTAAAAGCGTGATCAAAACACTTCAAACGCTTCAAAACTAGTGAAAAGCCTTCCACTGAAATGTTTGAAAAGATGCCTTGCACAACTTTCCAGAATTTTTTTTTTTGGAGTTTCTTTTCAAACGGCCTATTTCAGAAAGGCGCTAGCCAAGTTAGCGAAAAATTATGACCTCTCAAAATTTGTGTGATAGGACTTTTGACCAACCTAATATACAGGGTGTCCCAAAAAAGTATGAAAATTTTGATCGCAAATATTTGTATGAGCAGCTTATGCGGACCTTAAAGGCACCATCCACCCAGATTTTCGACTCCCACGTTTTTGTCGTTTCAGGGCCTTCTCATGTCCCTAATTCCGAATATGAAGTCGAGAATGCTCGAAAACCCCGAAAATCCTCGTTCCGGAGGACCCACAGGCCGGCTTTCCGGAACGGTGATTGGCTGGGCGCGCACAAATGGGCGGGCATGGATGGGGGAGGGCGGGCATGGATGGGGGTCCTCGTGCATCTTCGCTATTCCGAAGAGATTTTCTCGCTTCCGAAGCGGAATTTTGCGCCGCGTGTTGGGCATTGGATTGATAGGGGGCCCTACTATTATAAGCTACCAAAAACTCAACACTCTCAACTTAGGGTGTACGGTGCCTTTAAGGTAGTATAAGATAGTGCTGGCTTTAGCGTACAATTACAATACAAAATGAGTCACTTACGGCCCTTCATTATTGTAGTAGCGTGGTAGGAACTTCCAGCTCAATGTCGTCGGTGCAAAACCGCTGCCATTTCAGGGAATTTCCAGAAAAATCGAACTCTTGTGGCAAGACTTCTAGACCTGTTGATTCTACGGAATGACTTTGTATGTGTATGTAGAATAGTTTGGATGGTATAACTTTTTATGATATATTAATCCAGTGGTTCCAATTTTTGATAACTAATGGGAAAACCGCTGTCAAGCTATGCCTGTTGTAACTTTTAAGTCATAGATTACGGCAAAGCGGAATTTATATATATAGAATCAGCCATTTTCTTTGCATGGTAAAACACTACAGCTCTTTTGGTCTATTCTGTAGGAGACAACACATGCCCTCACTTTAGCAAACCTCCTTCTAAAGTATTCGCTATATTCCTAAAGTGACGAATGGGGATAGGTGATCCACTTTCTAGTGCAAATCTAATTTGAAGCCGCCTGTCTTGGCCAATAACAACCGGGTTCTAACATTTATTGATTGAAGTGTATTGACCAAGTGTAAGGTTCGTTAAAAGCATTGGATATATCACGAGCTTCTCCCTCGTCCGCTTCTCTTCCCTTTATACCGTCAGCGGGGCCCGCCTTCCTTACATCGTGAGAATCACGACATTCCGGCGCCGCGCGTGCTGTCAAAATTCGAAGATGGAATAGACTCCAAGCCTGAACCTTTCTAAAAAAACACGTAAAAGTCTGACTTGATTGAGTGTATTTTTTTTGTTTGCAAAAAAATTGCTAAATGTAAGAACCCTTTTCTTCAGATTTGAGAAATTGAAACGATGACTTTATTCGTTTGCTTTTCTGCGTTGACTGCCTTGGGTCTTAATCTTTTTTCTTATTCAACTTTGAATATTGATTTTTTTTGCGTGAAACTTTTAGTCTTGCGCTGTGCGTATTTGATTTTGCTGTTTTTGCAGTTTGGGCTGTGCATTATTTCATTTTGCGGTTTTTTGCAGTTTGTGCTACGCTTTATTTCCTTTTGAGGCTTTTGCAGTTTGTGCTTTGCGTTATTTTCCTTTGACGTTTTTGCAGTTTGCAGTTTGCAATTGCACTTGCTTTTGAAGTAGGTTCAAAGATGATTGTTAAAAAAAGAGAAAAATAAGTGAATTGAGCTCTTTTGTTTGTTTTCCTCCCCTTTTACATGTTAAATTGATATTGACAAAAAACGGAGTGATGCCTAGTCATCTCCGATAGCCTCATTGCCTTTTTGCAGAAAAAGCAAGTGCTTTTGGGCTGACTGGAAGTCGCCATGTGCGCTGCTGGGCCTAAGCAGCGCTCGCACCTATTCAGGTGTGCGATGCGCTCCCTACGCTCACTTAATGTTGAATAAATCATGCAGTCTGTCGACCAATGGCGTCTAGCGCAGAAAATACAATTGGAGGGAGGTAATTGAGGAGGGGTTGCCTGGTCTTCACGTTGGTGTGGCGGTGGTGGTGGCGGTGGTAGTGGCGCTGTGGACGTCGACTGATAGTCGCTTCCAGTTGTCTTCTGAGTTTTTGTCGGTGGGGGGCTGCCGATGACGCATTCCTTTATGTGATGAGGTTCTCGACTTCGCTCTGAAATTTGCGATGTTCTTGTTCTTTTGTTCTTGTTTCGATTACCTTTTTTTCTTGTTTTTCTTCAGTTTCATATGAATGTTTTCTCTTTCGTTGGATCTTTAAAAGTTTCTTTTTCTTTTCTTACATACATTTTAAATGGTTGAAATTGTTTGCTTACCCGATGTAGTTTGATCTCTTTTCTTAGTCCGTGGATTTCTTGCTGTAATGCTGACATGGCTTGTTGAATCGCTACCATGCCGGGGCACTCTTCGGGTGGGCAATGAACTATGTGCCCGAGGGTTGTGACGGGGTCGCCACTTGGACTTTGTTGCTTTGGTTCTTCTTCCCCCACCAGTTCTTCTGTCTTCATGTCGACCTCGTGTGAGTGTGCGTTTTGGCTTTCTCCTTCAGCCATATCTGAAATTGCTTGGTTGGTTGAGTGTATGGAATGCATTTGATTTACAATGCGATAATATATGAGGAAATTCAAATGTTTGATATGTGCTTGAACAATGAATAAAAAATACGTATGCAAAAAAATGGTATGCGTAGGATCAAACGAGCCATGCGCACAAAGAGTCTTAATAAAGGAAATGGAAAGTTGAGAGGCGACGGCATTGCAAGTTGTAGAATATTTTTGTAGATGTCCCGACGATAAGCTCTTCGACTTGAGCTTTGTTGCTTTCCTCGGCACGCTGTGGCTGTTGCGATCAACGCGATGATCAGCGTGAGGAAAATGACCGTTGAGAATATGAAGTATTGCTTTATAATTGAAAAGAACTCAGGTATATCTGGTAATTCTAGTTTGAAAGTATTGATCTCTGTGTTGGAATTACCTTGTAGTGCTCTCATATTATAAAATGGAAATACTCCTTTAATGAAATGTAATTGGCCTGTGATGGAGAATATCTGCTGATTTGTGCCGCATCTTGCTTTGCATGTTTCGTTGAATACGGCTTTGATGGCGTAAAAATGTATCTCATTTGTATATCCTGTTGGTGTACAGGTGATAGTGAATGACTGTGTGTGGCAGTTTATTTCCGCTATTGCGTGAGGGATGTTAGAGAAACATGACAAATAAGTCACTGCACCTTTTAAGCAGTTATAACAACCCAGTATCGATGCGCTAGGTATGCGGCATTGGAACTGTTTGTGTGTAAAACGGATATCTGATTCACTTGTGTTGACTAACAGAGCAACTTCAGTACTTGCTTCTAAAGTCCGTATTGTTAGTCTATTGTATTTACCTTCAGTATCTATTAATGCATTCGGCATTTTGATTGGTAAGATTTGACTCAGTTCTAGTGCTTGAGACACGTTATTGTGTGTGCAGTAACAGTTTACGCTATCTTCTGCTGGGCGGCAAGAGCACGTGTCGCGGATAGTACATTCTTTTCCCTTATGCAGTGATGAATCATTTTTTGCGTCGAGGCATGCGTAGCTGAAGGTGTGTTGTTGTTTTAATCTTGCCGTCATTTTTGAATTATCAATGAATGTGTCGCCTAGAAGCGGCATGGTTGGTATTTGTATTGATGTTATCTCTATACGCATGCCATTGAAATTCTTTCGAACATTTTGTTCAAATTCTATAGTGTGGGTCTGTGGTTTTTCATGGAAATTTGTTTGTGCAATTGAAAGTGCCACTTTCATCGACCAAGTAGGGCAATGATAGACTTCGTATAAATCTTTGTCTGTTGGAACGTGATAAATTCTGTAGAAAAGGC